CAGTTTGAGACCTTAGGATCAGGCAAGGTATCGGGTGGCCCTGATACAATTTTAGAAGGGCATATAATTATTCTCAGTGTGCCATATGTTTAAAGTGTCTAGTTCATAGGGTCTAGCTAGAGCCAGAATAAAAGCCGAATATGTCTTGTTTTCAAATGTTGAATCTCAGCTGGCAATGTAGAGCCAAGTCTTACGAAAGCCAAGCCATAGACCTCTCTGCCCAACCTCTTCGGGATCCTCCTAGGTGCAACCCTCGGAGGCGGTCTCCGTTTTAATAAGACACTTTAGAAAACCTGAAAGATCTCAAGACTCATGGGGAATGAATATGAAATGATGAAACACTGGGAGGTTGGGATAAAACTTGAGAAACCAGAGGGTTCTCTTAAATCCAGCCACAGGGGCACCCAACCCTGAAATGCAGCAATCCCGGGCACATCTGTTCATGCCAGCAGGGCTGCTGAGCCACAGGGCACACCCCACCGTGTTTTACCATCACTGGCAGTTGCAGCACACGACGGCTGGTGCTTCTCCCAGCCTCCACTGGTGGCAGCAAGAGGCTCTGTGGCGTCCCTGGGCAGGGCTTCTCTTCTGGGCCTTTTTACTGAGGCCAGCCCCTCCTCTGCGGCCTGGGAAGAGAAGACCCCATCAGCTAAGACTAGGAAGAAACGGGCAATCGGCACTGTCCTCTTCTTCCCGGAGAACAGTGCTGTGAATTGAGGAAGAGAAACCACACTAAGGAGACGCGGGCAGACACCTGGCCCCGAGACCACGCCCACCTCGTTTTCCCTCTTCCGTCTCCCAGCCTCCGCCGGCCGCTCGGGTGGAACACAGGCCGGGCGCATTTCTTTTTCCCTCAGGAATTCTTCTGTAATTCCTAATGACTCAGCGACCTGGCAAGAAAGGGGCCAACAGAAATCAGTCTAACCCAAATCAGACCCAAGTTTCCAGAAGCTTGTTCACACATGAGAATTACACGACTGGGTTTAAACCTATGAAGTTCCTT